AAACAAAATCTCTCATTCTCTTATCCTTAAGTGTGGCCGGCCAAGATGGGGATTCTCATCCCTGTGTGGCGCCAATTTCAGATAGGGAAGGAAGAGAAAATCATCATTTATCCTGTAGTTCAATTTTGACTCAAATTCAAATTCCAATTTAAGTCAAACTTAAATTAATTTGAATTCTAAATTGAACAACTTATCAAATAAGTTTAAATGGATAAATCTAGACGTGTTCAAATTCAAATTTAAATAATCACATTATTTATATAATAATTAATTCTCAATTAATTATTTTTTGAGTGTTTAATTTTAGAATTCTAAAATTCCCATTTTGTCCTTTGTGTCTGGTAGAATTACTAGGACGACGCGGGAACTAATGGACCTATAATCCCGAGCTCCAATAAAATTAATAATTAATTAAACACTTTAATTAATTAATTAATTCTATTAATTCTAATAGTTACTCCACTATAAACTTAGAATTGCACTCTCGAAATTATTGATATAAATTACTTCTAAACTGTGAAGTGTCCATTTCATATAGTCATTGCATATACATCAATCCTCCATAAATAATTCATAATTAGAGTAAGATAAAATCCGTTAACCTCTCTAATTACATCTTTATCCTTGAGTACCATTGATTCTCTAATGGACAGTGATTCCCGGCTACCTACTTCATCGTGTCTTCAAAATACAAGGAATAGGATTCAGGATCTCAGAATCTGTACCGAGTAAATCAAAAGACACAAATCCATAAATAGGAGTCTGTTAAGGACTCAAGATTAAGATCATTCTATATATGACCATCGGTAGACTCAATTAGAATTTCTATACTTAACGAAATTATTAGAAATTCATATTGTGTCTGTGTCCTTGTTCCACATAATCTCATTATGCGAAATACACTCATTCAATAGCTCACCATATTAACAGTGCGGATAACACCATTCCATTCTAAATGGGAATGAAATGTATTAATAATGTTTTAATTAAAGATTCCAAACTTTAATTAAATTCATTATGAACATTGCTTTTTGATTATTATCCTTAAACATTATCCTCTCGTATATAACACTTATA